ATTTTTTTGTGTAAATAACGTTCTTAAAAATTCGTTAGCGTTATACCTCTTATTATTGTATCGTTTCTCAAGTTCATTCCACGCCTCGTCATAGTTTGCATTCGTAGTGGTGAAATTGCGTAGTAATACTTCTGGTTCTCCTGATAAATTACTTTTAAGGTATTGTAACTTCTGTACTGGTGACAAAGATTTATTGTTGTGTATCAGAGAACTAAATAAGTCGTAAAAAGACTGCCACTCTTCATATCTACCACTAAATTTAGGTATCTGAATGCGAGGTAGTTTAACATCACTTTTTGTAGAATGTTCTAGATCACTTACAGGTGTCGATGTTTGTCGGTGTACATACGATGGAACTGAAAACGGTTGAAGTGCCTCTTTCAAACTCGATTTGTATTGTATATATAACTCTTCAAACTCTTCGTACGTATCTTCTATAAAATAAGAATCTTCCCTGTCTTCATCTTTAGTAATTTTTGAAATTACATGTTTGTGTCCCTCCTTAAAGGCCTTCCAAAGATCTTCTAAAGATTCTAACCTTGTTTCCAAATACGGCGCTTTTATTCTGACTTTAGGCGACTTCTTATAGTTCTTCTCAGCCCTTTTCAAATTTTCTAATAGTTCTTTTTGATAAACCAAAAGTTCTTCCATATTAGTATAAAATTAACAGTCACGAAAGATCCAGAACAATACAAATTTACTTCGTAAAACACAATAATTTTATAGTAAAAATATCTTTTTCAATCCTTATCGCTCAGGAATGCAGGTGTCTATTGTTCTCACGGCGCAAGCGCATCGGCTGGCCGCCGATCCTTATCCGGCTCAATTGGACCAAATGTTCTAGGCAATAAGGATCAGTTTCTGTTGTAGGGGATTTTTATAATTGACGAGACGTGTGACTAGTGTGGTAAACCTTTTAATACTAATTGTGGATACAAATATATTTCTTTACAAAGTGGACTGTATAAGTAGGTATGTTAACGCGCTGCTTGCGACTGGCACAGACACGCCTGGACAAGAACAAAAGTTAGTATGAAAAAATAAGGTTATTTCTGCCGCCAATTTGAATGATTTTATTTACTTAATATAATAATATGTTCATGTATTGTTCAGAGATATATGTAATTATTATATCTCTGAACAATACATGAACATCCTTTGCATTGAAAACTTAATTCCCTTCCCTGCCTAATATATAAGTATTAGATCAAAGGATATAATATATCACAAGTAAAATATTAATATATATTTACATTTTGTAAAGAACATGTTGCATAAACTATCGCATAGCGTGGTGACGCATGCCGCCAACAGCCAGTCTGAACCTCCGCATTAGATGTTTTACATCAAATATAGAAAATAAGGTGTTATAAGAAATAAATTCAATATATTTTTTTCGACAGTCCAACAAACAAATAATTTAAATATAATTATTAATGTTAATCACGTCATAGGCAGGTAGCGTGGACGTATATATTTAAATAAAATATTAAATAAATAGATATACTTATATGGTGTCCTTAATAAAACACGTCTGTACTCACTGACAATTTTTTCCCGACTGACCTACAATACAGATATCGGAACTTAATACTAACTTATATTACACTCCCTCACACTTATTCTATTCCTTATAATGAACATTTTTAAGTCCGGGGTGGTGACTCGGACGGCGAGCTGAACTGCAACTCCGGTGAGGCCGGAGTATTCTCGACTAGTGCCACCGTCGACTACGACAGCGTCGGTGTACTCTCGTGGACCGTCAAACCTTCCGACTGGTCCACGTCACCCCGTTCGCTCGTTACATTGATTATGTACATATCGGTACACTAACGATTTGTCTAGGTACCGTGAGCTGTAGTGGAGGATACATTAAAAACCTCTATCCACTTAGACCTTGCATCTACTACCACCAGCTAATTTTTTCTGCTATGGGTTCCAAATAATCCATATGCAACCGGCTCCATGGGCGGCCCGGCCGTTGCCAAAGCTGGGGGCGTCTGGCGCGGGGGCGCGTCCGCATGCGCTGCAGACACGCGGCATGCTTGTTCTACTGCCTCGTCCACGCCTGGCCACTAAACATAACTCCGGGCTAAGGCCTTCTTTTTTCTTACACTTTTACACACGGCCGTCTGATTCCAAACTAGGCAGAGCCTTTTTTTTTTTTTTTTTTTTACGTGTGGAAATCCCCTCGGACCGTCACCCCGCCGGGGCTCTCGTTCGGCGGGGCGGTGTGTCGGACTCGAACCGACTAAAACCACACGGTGTGCCCTCTTTGCGCTTCCAGTTTAGGAGGGGTCCAGGTAGTTATCGCCTTCTGGACCCCTCCCAGCGCCAGCCCGCTCCTGGTGCGGGCTCCGTCTCCAGGACCTCTCTTTTTTTAGGCGACGTCCGGCACACGCGGACGCCGCCCCCTCGCGGCTGGCCAACTAATGCGGGTGGAGGGGAGAACCCATCCCGTCCACCCGCGGCCACACTCAGGGCGGCATGAGGCGCAGATAAGCGCGCCTCCGCCGCCCGGTTCACCGGCGGCGGATCAGGTCCGAGTGGAGGTCCTCCTCCCGGGCCTTCTCCGCCGCCTCCTTCTGCGAGATTACCTCCTCGCAGAAGGTTGCGACCGCGGTAAAACAACTGTCGCTACCGGCCATGGAGCGAATTACGGCCGGTAGCGAGAGATCTGCTCCGATGACTGCAGTGAGGGCCCGGCGCTGCGTCGCCCATGCGGGGCAAACCGCCAGCGTGTGCTGGGCCGAATCCTCACTGCAGTCGCAGTGGTGGCAGGCGGGACTCGATTCCCTCCTAGCGACCGAGTACAGGTACTTTCCGAAGCAACCGTGCCCGGAAAGCACCTGCGTCAGCCGGAAGGAAAGGGTCCCGTGCTGCCGCCCTGCCCACTCGGCGATGACCGGCTGGAGAGCCTCCATGGCGGCGAAGCCAGCGCGTGGAGTCTCCAGCCGGAGCGACCATCTGACCATGGTGGCTCGGCGAGCGGCTTCGCGCCACTCGCGCACGTCTTCGGGCGGAGGGCGAAATCCGCTCTCCGCCCGGAAGTCAGCCACTCGCCGATACACTTCGGCGAGCACTTCCGCCTCCAAATCCCACGGGGGTGTTCCGGCCAAGGCGCAAGCCGTAGAACAGCCGCCCTCAACTCCGATTCCCTGACGGGCGGAAAATCAGCCTCGCTGCCCCCGTCGTCTCCGGCTGATTCAGCCATCGACGGGGGTGTGTGCTCCGCCCGCTGCGGGAATAGGCCCTCGACCACTTCCTGCAGGAAGCTGGGCTGGAGAGTCTCCGTAAGGGGGGGGGGGGGGGGGGGCGACGTGCGGAGCTTTTGACGCACCGCACGATAAGGGCGACCTCAGGGGTCACGCTCGAGACTCTCCAGCATCTCCTCTCTACATGCATCTTTGGCGCGGCAGATGGCCAGCCTCAGAGTTTTCCGAGCTTCTCGGTAATCCTCATGAAGCCGGTCCACCTCCTCACCGACCCCGCGGTGACGTCGCCGACTACGGGTGAGGGACCTCCGGGCACGTACACAGGCCGCACGGAGGTCCGCCAACTCCTGGGACTACCAGTAGACCTCCTTCCTTGGAGGCCGACAACCACGAACACGGGGCATGGCCGCATCGCAAATCTGCGTAATCGAATCGCAGAAGCGACCAGCCCCCATGTCGACCTCCTCGGTCGGGGCCTGCGGAGACAGCCAAGAGTGAATAATGGCCGCCTTACTAGAGGAGGCTGTCGAGCTTGGCGACAGCCCACCGCGGGAAGCGGGAAGGGCGCCGCGCCGCGTGACCCCTACTGGGGTCCTGGGACCGGGAGAGCTCGAATCGGATGTACAAATGGTCCGAGAGCGTCTCGACCTCTTCCAGGACACACCAGTTCCTTACTCGTGCGGCGACTGCAGGGGTAGCGAACGAAAGGTCCACTATCGACCCCCCCTGCTGTCGCACGCACGTGTTGGTGGAGCCCCTGTTCAGCAAACAGAGGCCCACCGACGCCGCCCACTCCTCGACGGCTTCGCCCCTGGCGTCCGTCGCAGGGGAACCCCACGCATTGGACTTTGCGTTGAAGTCCCCCAGCACGAGGACGTGCCCAGACACTAGTCACCGCATCGAGGCCTCCAAGTTGGTAAGGAAGACCTCGAAGTCGTTCAAACTCCGGTTGGGGGAGAAATATACACCATAAATGGTGATTCCCCCCCAATCGGCGGCAACATATCCAGTACCCTTGTCTGTTAGCGACAAGGGCTGGGAATGAGCCGCCGTGGAGCCGACGACTGCCACGGAGCCGTCCCGGTCACCCATCCAGTTTGGACGGGGAGGAACAAAATAGGGCTCCGAGACTACGGCAAAACTAGGCAGAGCCTGGACTATGGTTAGGATGTCAGGTCAGGTTAACTTTAATAACAAGAGATGGTGTAACTATTAAGAGATTTAATCCACCCAGTACAACGCTTACAAGACAAGTGTCTGTTCTAAAAACGAATATATATATATATATATATATATATATATATATATATATAATATATATCTCAAGAGCGAACGAGTGAATGTAAAAATACCCTCTTAGTACTAATACGAGTTGTCATTATCGAGTATCGGTATCGAGTAAATAGTCGACTAAATGTAGTGTAAGTTGTAAATGTAGTGTGTAGTGTAAGTCGAAAAAAGCTATACGCGGTGTTGACGGAGGCGGACGTTTGTTAATGTCGCTATAGAATAGATAAACGTGCATACAATATTCGCTCTAAAAGTTTTCAAGTGATGTGCAAGTTTTGTGTGACTGACTCGGCAATACAACAATTTAAATAAATAGAAAGTGTAAAGTGGCGGATCGGAGCAGCAAGCGGGGGGACAACTACCTCACCGCTACGGCAAGAGAAAGTACGTATTAATTGCCCTCTCTGTCTAAATCGGCTGCAAATAAACTAAACTAAGTAGTCACCGCACGAGTTAAAGATTCTTACAAAGCAAGGTAGTAGGTAGATGTACACTATGAAACGCTGCGCTGCCGAATGTACCATTGATCTGAATACAGAGGATTACATGGAATGTACACGGTGCAGGGATGCTTACCATTACGTTTGCCTGAACCTGTCTCCTACGGAGGTCGCATCTCTGGACCAGGATATTAAGCGTAGCTGGTCATGCCCCAGATGTTTCAGTAAGCAGCCGAAGGGAGGAAATATTGACCTACCAGTGCGCCCATCAACTCCAACTTCCACCGCAGACGTAACATTTAATGTCACGCGTCGCAAAGTGCAACAAAGGCCGGAATCGTTACAAATGACTACCCAACACTCAGATTTCGTCTTGCGTACCGAGCTAAGGGAATTAATACGGGAAGAAATGCGTAATGTTGTGAAGGAGTGTATCACTGACCTTAATATCACATTGAAAGAGAACCTGCAAGCTATGCGTGAACAGATTAGTAGTTTTAAGGATTCCCTAAACTTCATGAGCGATCAGTATGATAACCTGCATAAGACGGTGGAAGAATGTCGAACCAATCTCATATCTTTGAGTAAGGAAAATGAAAGTCTGCGGTCCGATAATATAAAGCTTTCAAACAAATTGTCATTACTAGATCAGGTATCCCGAGCCTCTAACCTTGAAATTCTATGCGTCCCTGAAAAAAAATCTGAAAACTTCATGAGTATTGTGAAACAGTTGGGTCGCGCTGTCAACTGTAACATTAATGATAACGAGATACTTTACTGTTCGCGCACGGCTAAAATAAATCCTACAAATGCTCGCCCCCGTTCTATCTTGGTGAAGTTGAGTTCCCCACGTACCCGTGACACATTATTATCATCCGTTGTAGCACATAACAAGAAACATGCGCAAGATAAGTTGAATGCTAGTGACCTTGGCATTGGTGGTAGCAGATCACCTGTTTACGTGGTGGAAAACCTTTCACCCGAGAATAAATCCTTACATGCTGCGGCTCGTCAGCGTTGTAAACAACTACATTATAAATTCGTGTGGGTACGCGGAGGTCGAATCTACGTGCGCAAGTCCGAAACAACACACACTTTACACATAAGTAATTTAGACATACTGAATAAGCTGGTGTAAATAATGTTGGGCGACGCATATTTTTATTTCTTTCTTTTGTTTTTTTCCTGTTATACATGTATTTCTCATCAAACCAGTTATAAATTCATTCCAATAAATTTTTATTTGCATAATTACTCGAACGTGATGAGCCCAGGCATTGTATCTAAACTAAAAGTGCCGTTTTCTTCTACTAATTTGTTACGATACTACTTATGTTTTCAAACCGTTGTAAATTATATAAGAGAGGTGGAAAGATCATACTTCGTGCTGATTAGAGATGTTTGCTACGTTGTTGGTCCTGTCATCGTTTCATTAAATAAGCTAAATAATTTATGTATTGGTGGGTGGTTTGAGGTCTCCTATAGCTATTATGGGGTATATTCGCTCGGATGTTTAGGTGCGGAGATTATGACCACGAACTGTTTACAGGGGCTGATCCCCATTATTGTGTTTGTTGACGTAAGTCACGGTCTTGTGTATGTATATATATGTGTGTGTCAAGAACGAGTCCCGAGTATAGAATACTACATAGCTGGGACCAATTTCTTATCTCATATATTATTATCACTTAGTTTTACAAACTTGTTTAATGTCTTTAGAATGGAGGAAGTAGGTATATGCATAACTTTTTTATTCAACCTATATACCAATGCAATAATAATTACATGTTTACTTTTGTTGTTTAAGATAATTGACTTTTTGATATTTGGCTATAGTTTGAGGCTGCCTGAACATGACGATGAACTGAGTGGGGATGTGCTGATGTATGGTGTTCGGTGGACGAGCGGGATATTCGGGGTTATTTCTGTGGGTATTTGTTCGAGCCTACTTAGCAATAGCTCATTAACAAAGTGCCATCGTGGGTCCTATTGTGATATTTGTCGTAATTTCGTATGCATATCAATAAATATAATTATCAATATTTTTGTTGAATATAACTTATTTACGACATATTGCATTGCTTTCGACGCAGCTGGTATGAACGCTGGAGTGACAGTAGTGTTGACGGTGTACTACCTAACTAACACTGCACAGGCTTCTCGTATTATACTTCGTATCATGTATTCGTATACTTTTCTGACTACACATAATATGCACAGTGACATAGTAGATGGGGCGTTTGTTGGAAGTACTACTCATAATTACGAGTCATACGAACTACTATTTGCATCTAGTTATTGCGTCGGTGTGGTGCGCTTGCATGAGTGCGCAATGGAGCACACACAAACTGGAGCAGAGTTATATTCTTTATACATCCATACACTTAGTTACACATGTTCTCCAATTCTAGTTGGGTTATGCGGGGTGTACAATTGCAATATATACCATGGAGCTCAATTAAAGATCTTAGCAGCGGACCAGTTTGGTAAACAACTGTTTCTACCTACTTATGTATTTTGTCGGTACCTTTCAGGTTTAGCATTGTCGTGTCGTGATAGTTTTGTACTATTAACGTCCCGTTCAAAATGTGGTACAAGGACACTCACTAATGACTATAAAGATAACGTATTATTACATCGTAACACATTTATTGGTATGACCAGAGATAGTTCTTTAAGTGATTTAGCATCTGGGATGCGACTGCTGGGCCTTGATTCTTGGTGCTGCAAAATTTAACCTCAATGGCTACTAGAAGTAAAAATTTAAGTATCTATTATCAAAATGTCCGTGGCCTTCGCACAAAATGTTTAGATCTGTACAACAAGATTCTTAGCCACAAGATCGAGCGGTCTGTGCTTCCGCTGCGGTCAACCCGGGCACAAGGCCGCCCCTCACTGCCCGGTGTGTGCGGCAGGTAAAAAGCCCGCCAATCACATGATGGGGCAGGGGGGCTGCAAGCCTCCCCGCGCTTTTCGGCAAACGCCGGGGGCTAGCCTGCCGACCCAGGCTGCCTCCGACGTCAATCATGCGTCGACGCCGACGCCCATGGAGGAGGTTGTAGAGACGATCCAGTAATGGATCAAGTCTCCAACCGATTCGTCTGGACCAGGAGGTCCAGACGAATCTCAACCACTATGCCCCGGCGCAGGATCTCTTCCTGCAAACCATGGCACAGTGGTCGATAGGTGTTGCCGTAGTCGCGGAGCCATATTTTGTCCCTCCCCGTCCAAACTGGATGGGTGACCGGGACGGTTCCGTGGCAGTCGTCGGCTCCACGGCGGCTCATTCCCCGCCCTTGTCACTAAGAGACAAGGGTACTGGATATGTTGCCGCCGATTGGGGTGAAATCACCATTTATGGTGTATATTTCTCCCCCAACCGGAGTTTGAACGACTTCGAGTTCTTCCTTAACAACTTGGAGGCCTCGATGCGGCAACTAGTGTCTGGGCACGTCCTCGTGCTGGGGGACTTCAACGCAAAGTCCATTGCGTGGGGTTCCCTTGCGACGGACGCCAGGGGCGAAGCCGTCGAGGAGTGGGCGGCGTCGGTGGGCCTCTGTTTACTGAACAGGGGCTCCACCAACACGTGCGTGCGACAGCAGGAGGGGTCGATAGTGAACCTTTCGTTCGATACCCCTGCACTCGGCACACGAGTAAGGAACTGGTGTGTCCTGAAAGTGGTCGAGACGCTCTCGGATCATCTGTACATGCGATTCGAGCTCTCCCGGTCCCAGGACCACAGTAGTGGTCACGCGGCGCGGCGCCCTTCCCGCTTTCCGCGGTGGGCTGTCGTTAAGCTCGACAGGGACCTACTAGAGGAGGCGGCCACTATTCACTCTTGGCTGTTTCCGCAGGCTCCGACCGAGGAGGTCGACATGGGGGCTGGTCGGTTCTGCGATGCGATTACGCAGATTTGCGATGCAGCCATGCCCCGCGTTCGTGGTTGTCGGCCTCCAAGGAAGGAGGTCTACTGGTGGTCCCAGGAGTTGGCGGACCTCCGTGCGGCCTGTGTACGTGCCCGGAGGTCCCTCACCCGTAGTCGGCGACGTCACCGCGGGGTCGGTGAGGAGGTGGACCGGCTTCATGAGGAGTACCGAGAAGCTCGGAAAACTCTGAGGCTGGCCATTTGCCGCGCCAAGGATGCATGTAGAGAGGAGATGCTGGAGAGTCTCGAGCGTGACCCCTGGGGTCGCCCTTATCGTTCGGTGCGTCAAAAGCTCCGCACGTCGGGGCCCCCCCCTTACGGAGACTCTCTAGCCCAGCTTCCTCCAGGAAGTGGTCGAGGGTGTAGTGTGTAAGTACCTTTATAATATCTGTATCAGCGATCCCTGACTAGTGTAATAATTATAACATACTTTCGTGGCATTCAATAAACGTAGGTAAACCGAAGTGGTTGTCTAATTTATCCAAAACCCAACATTACATGGCGACCCTGCCTAAGGGCTTTGCCCCTGCCTAAGGGCTCTGCCAAGGGGTCCACAGTCTTTTAAGCTCTAGTAAAGTAGTTTTGCCATTTGAACATGTGCCGGTCCACTGTTGAAAAAGAAGAGGTCCTTAGCCAAAACGCTGCTGGTGGAAACAATGACGCAACTCTAAAGGGAATTGGAGGTCATCTGGAGCGACTGAACACTGTCACGTGGATCATCTTTGCGGTAATATTTTTGCTAGATATTATTATACGTTGGTATGAGGCTCTATAGAAAATGTCATCGTGGTTGGATACAAGAGGAGATTGGCCTTCGAGTGATTGAGAGAATTCGGGCATCCATACGGGGTCATGCTGCCGCTGCCACTGCCGAGAGAACTGGATAAATGATCCTTTGTTGGCTCAAGCAATCATTTAAATGTGGTACTTTTCGTGTAATTTTTTGTTTTCTCCTTACCTAATTAATTTTATGATATGAATGCAATTTGTTTACATTATATTATAAATATATTATAAGTTTTGAAATAGATATAACTCAAATTTATGAACAGAAAGAATCTATTTTATATAATTATAGTTGTACAAGCAAGTTGCACATTGCGAAATGCGCTACGCAATCGGTATCATAAGCTGACATATATATATATATATATAATTAGTGTAGTTATATGTAATAATTTAGTACAATAAAAGCATTCAACCTTACACGTTGTCTCAATATCAAGTACTCATAACAACAAGCATTTTATCACTAAATGCAGAGAAACACCTCTACATTATGGTCCTTCGATTTATTGATTGAAAATCTATCGAGTGTATTTTGTGAAGTGTGTATAGTGGTGTGTAACGAAAGTAGCGAATCGGTTGGCTGGCCTCCCACAAGTGGGTCTCACTAGTTCAATTGAGAAGGCGCATAATACTTTCGGAAGACTACGAGCACACACGAAACAACAATTCGGATTGGGACGAAATAGCAGCCTGACCGTTTGATACACGTACCTCGAAAGATCAATCAAGCAGCACCAGCATATTTATCATTATCAAGCACCAGTGAACAGTCCTACTAATTTCTTATCAAGCAGCAATCATTTTATTTTTGACTGAGTAATCGTGTCTAAGACAATATCAAGATGAGTTTGTATGAACAGCAAGTAGAAGTTCCGGCCCAACCATACTCCTGCCCATATCGTTTAACCAAATACGATGCTGGGTCAGGCAATGGACCTGTGAAGCACACAACTGGAGATGGAAAAATTCACCCGGCAGCAGACAGTCCAAACTGGTGCTGAATCAAGTCACACCACGACTAACCTGCAGATTGATCAGTTGTAACGTTGGGAGTCTATGTAAATAATACTCAGTTGAATGTGAATGCAAGTCTGACTATAATTCGAATCAATACATTGTCTTATATCTATCTTACATCGACTACATCAGATCACCGCCGAGCATTAGATTTAACAATGTTACTGTAAAAAATAAAACCACAGTGTGTTATCTAGGATTAGTTTTAGAAAGAAACTTTTCATTTATCGAACATATTAAAATAGTTAATGAAAAGTCTAAAAAGAGTTTCTGTGCATTGACAAGGATATCAACTGCGACATGGGGTCTATCATTTAATACATTAAAGATCATATACGGAGCTACTTATTTAGGTTCTATGTGCTATGGTGCACCTGTATGGGCCGATAGGGCGACTGTAGGTGCTGTCCGTCGCCATCCGCCGATATACTACTCTGTCAAGAAAGTACCGGGAAAAATTCAATAATACACAAAATGTTTGTTATTCATCCAAATTTATTTTATCACCTTCAAAGTATGCACCTTCAAAAACGATTCACTTACGCCAACGAATAATCCAATCATCAAAACATTTTTAAACGATGTTTCCGGAATTAGGTTCAGTTCTCGCCGCGAATTCTCCTTTATGTCTCCTACCGATTGAAAACGGGTGCCACGAAGTGGTAATTTGAGCTTATGAAAAAGAAAGAAGTCGGGTATCTGGTGAATATGGTGGTTGCTCGATGATATTTGTTTAGTGTTTGGTCAAAAATTCGTTTACAATGATAGCCTTGTGCGAACGTGCATTATCGTGATGTAATATCCAAGAATTTTCTTTTCACAAACCTGGCCTTTTTCTTCGAATTTACTCTTTTAAATGCCGCATAACGCTCATATTATTTTCTTTTTAACCGTTTGACCTCCCGGCAAGAATTCCGGCACAACACCGCGGTAATCAAAGAAAACAGTCAACATGACTTCGACAAGGCACCACTCCGTAGCTTGTTGACTAGTTTGCAAGTCAAACTCATGAACTCACGTCTCGTCACCAGTAACAATGAGTGTCATGAATGTTGGGTCGGAATTTACTCGTTCTAGCATGTCTTTAGCGACTCTCATGCGATTGAGTTTTTGGAGAAAATTCAGGTATTTTGGGACTAGCCGAGCGGGAACATGTTTCATACCCAAATGATTAGTTAAAATGGCACTGATCGAATCGACGAGCGGCCTCACGCCACTGGCGTATATTTTCGGGCGGGGGCCGACTGCCAATATCCGCCCGGTACTCAGCTGTCCGCCGATATACTTCGGCGAGCACTTCCGCTTCCAAATCCCACGAGGGAGTACCGGCCAATGCGCATGCCGCCTCCGTCGAAACGGTGCGGTAACCGCGTATGGCTCTAACCGCCAACATCCTCTGAGGGCGCCAGAGGCGTGGGGGCGGTCAGAGCCGCCGCCCACACCGAATAATAGGGCCTCCGTCTTATCCAGGGCCACCCGTAAACCCAACCAAATCCCTAACCAAACTACAGGACCTTCAACACAAACACCAAATATTCCTTCCACGATTAACCCTGACAACAACACACATGTACATTTGATATTATGATGTAACCTCTGTGCACCTACCTTACAAGATTTCTACATCACCCAAAGGTTGACAGGAAGAGAATGCCCTGGGCATTAAGTCCGCCGATGTACAAAAGTGCATAAAGATGAATAAATAAATAAATAAATAACCTCATGGAACCTAGAGAAAATTCCACTGATACTCCTCTAAACCCTCATAAAACCCCTGATATTCAAACTGAAGAACCCATGCCGTCCACTAGTGCATATCGACCTGGAACGTTGAACCTACCTTATGATTCTACCCTCAGCCATTAATTCAGAATAAAAACAGAACAGTTAATACTCACCTTAAAGAATACAACGAAGAGTTGATGAAGAGCCATCGTAAATATATCCTGGTACCTACCTCTATAGATCTTGATGATTTCTGAAGTACTTGGTAATCTAGATAATATATTAGACACTGAAAAAGAACTACATCTATTTCAAAAGATTACATTAAGAAATAAAATTGTTTACCTTGCATTTGGTTAAGTACATGTCGGCGTGGCGTCAGGAATAGGGTTCTCGGCGTCCATATTGTCGAACAAATAATTACTTCACACTTTACAATAAACTGTGTATTTTAAGACATATATTAACAATGTTTACACTTCGGGTAGTTTCAATAAAACTGTCTCGACCGCCAACAATATTCACCTTTTATACACTAAACCATTTCCGTCTTAAAATAATATTTAAACTCAATTCAAAACTGAAATTAACCGTTACTACATAATAATTAATCTGATTTATAATTAATTCCTATTTAATATTAACATTATTAAAGGAACGTTTTATAACAGTCAATATTGCTTAGCGATATTACTACATAATCACGTTTCAATATGCAAATCTTAAAATTAATACAGTATAATTTTAAATTAGATAAAGATATAATTACAAATAAATACTACTTTGTTTTTAAGATTATCATAACAATACTCCTTTATTTAATTTATATTAGTGCTGATATGATGTCAAATCTATATTTGATTAATGTAAGTCAATACATACTATAATTTTACATGATTTAATTATAATAAATTTTAATGAATTATGAGTTAAACAAAGTAGATTTTAAAAATAAATAATAATGTTAAAATAGATCTCAAACACGATACTTCTTAAATTTAATTTATTTAGCACTCATTATGACGTCATATCAACATTCTGTTACTATAAAATCAGTACAGCGCCCATACGGCCATTCTGATCCAGCGCGCTCCTCGCGCTGAACAATCAAACAGGCTCATCTAACTTATCCTAATACCTTTTATTTATTATTTAATGTTACACAGGGCTTCACCTAATGATAGGATTTTAGCCAGCAGCATGCGTCATCCATCACGGAATCTAACAAACAAGGCTTCACCCATTACGGGATCTTAGCCAACACAAAGGCATCACCACCATCGGATCTAGCCAACACAAGGCGTCACCCATCACGGGATCTAGCCAACACAAGGCATCACCCATCACGGGATCTAGCCTCCAAGACCAGGTAATGAGGAAACGCATGGTGGTCAGCCAGCGTTTTAGGAAGGAACTTTGGATAGGAAAAATAAATATTCAAATAATCATTACTCACTCATCCGCCCATACGGCGCCCTCTTCATCAAAGAAAGGATCCGTCTGAGCTACTGGTGCCGGTCGTAAAAAGTCATGGCTAGCGATCCTTTCACTACACCCGCGAAGGTTAACGTGCTTCAATTTATAACGGTCGTTAGGCAATACTTCTAAGACCTCCATAGATCCTTCGAATTTTGAACCAAGTTTTGTAGTATGTCGTTCATGACGACGCATGAGGACAAAGTCACCGACTTTAAATGGGTTTATGCTAGCTTTAACTTTGTCAAATCTGAGTTTATCTTGAAAAGACCGCTCGTCAATCATCTTTTTACAAGAAGGATTGCAAGATTCTCACAGATTCCAAGTTCTCGGTCACTTCATCATCGTCAATCTGTAAAAGCTTAATAGTTGGTGGTGAACATTTTTTTCCGAATAGCAATTCCATAGGGCTTTTGCTGGTACTTTTTGAGACAGTGCAATTGATAGCTAACTGTAAATCCTGAATAGCATTGTGTCATGGTTTATTAAGTTCGATAACCGACATATTATCTTTAATAATTTTCATGATGCGCTCTACCTGACCATTCGCCCTACTGGTCCCCTTAGCCACAACATGATGTTCGACACCATACTCGCGACAACAATTATTAAATTCAGTCGAAGTCATACTTTTGTCTTGATCTGTTATAAGACGAGTTGGAGTGCCGAATATAGTTATTACTTCGCGGAAACATCTAATAGCTGATGATGAAGTGCGGTCGTTGGTGTAAATTAAATGAACATACTTCGTGAAATTATCTATAAAAACAAACGCGTATTCGGCCAAAGCACGTTTACCGTTCATACAGCCGGTAATATCGGCATGCATAGTATGAAAAGGCACTGCAATTTTATCTATCGGATGTAGCGACACTTGCTTCGCTCCTAAAGGTCCTTTACGAATTTTACAACTGACACAATTTTCTACAAATTTACGCACTAGTTTAGACATGTCAGGAAACCAATATTGTTCTCTGATTTTAGCAAGTACTTTCTCCCAACTAAAATATTGTAAAGTATCGTGATAGTGGCAAATAAGGCTCCAGCGGTAATTACGTGGGACGATAATGAGTTTGCGAGTTTTATTATCTATCTGGACCTTACGCCTCAACAACTTATCCTGTAAAATAACATACGTGTCTGCGATTGTCTGGGGTATCGAATCAGACTTTAATTGATCGACAATGTTTTTTAACACTGGGTCGCGCTTTTGCTCAATAAGAAGCCAGTTATGATCAAGAGTTGACGAATTTATCGAAAAACGTAATGTTTCGGATACCTGATTATTATATTTTGAAACACGAGGTTGATCTAATGGGTTGCGACTAAAGTAATCAGCATGAGTTAAACGGTCTCCCTTACGGTATTCTTTATTGCTCGCTGATAAACAGAAGGCGCGTTACAAAGCCCAAAGGGCATCCGGAGATATTCTAATTGGCCATCTGGTGTTACAAACGCCGTTTTCTCTATGGAGTCTTTCGCCATGTCTAGACAAGTAAAGTAACGAGCTTTGCCTAATTTGTCAATTTGGTCGGCAATAAGAGGTAAAGGGTAATTATCTCGGACAGTATTGGCATTCAACTCCCTATAGTCGACGCAAAGTCGATCGGAACCGTCTTTCTTTTTGACCAACAGAATGGGGCTACTGAAAGGAGAGGAACTATCCCGGATAATATTATTTTCTTTTAAGTCATTAATAATACATTTGACTTTTTCGCGTTCTTAGGGTGACAAACGATAAGGTCTGCGTTGAACTATTTTCTCGGGTTTTTTAAGTTTTATAGTTAATTCACCCGTCTTGATCTCAGAGACACGATTGCCAAATGTGAAACTAAATTTGTAAATTTCAAGAAGGCTATGTAATTTTTTAATTAATGCAGGGTCCTTAATATTGCTATTCACGTCAAAGTTATAATTAGTTAGTTTTAATGATTCGTTAATGAGTAATTCTCGCTTTATAGAAATACCTTCTTTACTAACCGTTACACTAAGACCCGGCGTGCTTACAATATTATAGCCAATTAAGATGTCAAACTGAGTTTGAGTATCCCCAAAAACATAGAATTCTACCTCAATACACACGTCACCAAATTCGACTTTGGTCGTAATACTTTGCGTTGAAACTACTGGAGAACCACTTATACCCAGAAAGGCTACGTTTACGATTTTTCGCTTTCCAGGAATTGAGCCAGCGATCTTATTCCTAATTAGAGAACAATCGGCACCCGTATCAAGTAAGCAATAGTAAACTTTATTACCTATAGTAATATTGGTTATGCTACGATCTCTTGGGGTACAGAAGTTAATTGTTTGGTTGTTAGTTAGCCCCAAACGCTCATCATTTTGTTTACGGAAATAATTATTTTCACTATGCCCCTTCCTATGGCAATAATTACATTCTATAGATCTAATCGTATTAGCAGGTAGCAGTGTAGTAGAAGTTGAGGTCTTGGCAGGTGGAACAAGAGGACGTCTCTCTTTACATTCACGAGAAAAATGACCCGGCTTGTTACAATTAAAACAATTACCAGATGGCTTGCTAACCGGCCTAGCCATCCGAGGCTGCTTGTGTAGCTTACAATTAGTGTCATCAGAACGCTCAGCCTTTCAGCTCTTTATTACAGAAACTAGCTTAGGTAAGGAATCAGGCGTATTTCTTAGCAACTCTGATTTAATAAATTCGGGATAAATACCTGTTATCAAGGCATCGATAACCTCAGGGTCCGTAGCTTCTGGTCTCACACGTTTGAACAGCGTCCAGCCTGTCGTAGCGTATTCCGCGTAATTGTCAGCTTGCTCGGAGGTGTAGCCGCGCCATTTTTGTAGGTTGTCAACATATCGAAACTCCTTGCCGAAAGTTCGAATGAGGTCTTCTTTGACTTGCTGCCACGTGGTTGATTGAAGCGACCACGTGTCTGCCCAAATCTTGGCCCTACCTTTTAGTTGAAGGATAGCCTTCATCCTTGCTTCTTGCGGTGGTATATGGAAAGCCGCAATCGTCTCATCAACATTTGCACACCAATCACGGATGTCATGAGAGCGTACATCAGGATCGAATGGTGGTAGGTAGAAACTACCACGCATTGTATTTCCCGTAGAATTAGCAGCCAAAGCCGCAGATACAGCACTTGATGCAGTATAATTTTAAATTAGATAAATATATAATTAAAAATAAATACTACTTTATTTTTAAGATTATCATAACAATACTCCTTTATTTAATTTATATTAGTGCTGATATGATGTCAAATCTATTTTTGATTAATGTAAGTCAATACATACTATAATTTTACATGATTTAATTATAATAATTTTTAATGAATTATGAGTTAAACAAAGTAGATTTTAAAATTAAATATTAATGTTAAAATAGATCTCAAACACGATACTTCTTAAATTTAATTTATTTAGCACTCATTATGACGTCATATCAACATTCTGTTACTATAAAATCAGTACAGCGCCCATATATATATATATTTCGACCAAACTTCTTACCCTGATCTCTTTCTTACACTGAAAAACATAAAAAGTGACTTATTCAATTCAATTTATACAATCTGGCAATGTAAATGAATTAAGGGCGGTGGTTCACATCCTGATTTATCGAAGTTAAGTACGCTTACTGTCGATTCACAAATAACTTTCCGAAAGAGGAAATAACCCGAACAATTAAAGTCAAGAAAAGTAACGAAGAGCTTAAAGAAAGCTTGCAACTCTCCGATAAATACGACCATATTCTCACGAGCCTTCGTAACTTTGAGGAAGGCAGAGCTGATGATAAAAGACTGATACAGAAGTTGGAGGAAAGGATTGAGACACTGGAGCGTAGGGGTAGATCTTCTAACGTAGAGGTACGGAATGTACCCGCTATTATAAACAGCGATAGAAAGTTCGAAACCAAGGAAGATATCACTGAAATAGTGAAAGCAAAGACAATAGATGTTGAATTGTGATTACTGCATAAGGGATGTATGGGGTCTACCAATAAGAACGTCGTGGTTTAAGAATTGAATAAAACACACAATTTTTTTATGAAAAATGCATCCGATTGATTTATTTGATAGATAATTTTATGCAATTTATGTTTTAAATAATATATCGGCCAAATGACCGCAGCGGCTCTATTTGCAGACGGTCACCCGCTCACGCCAATTTTCGATGACGCGGTGCACCATTTCGGCCTGTATGTCGGCTATGGCTCGTCGAATATTGGTTTTTAGGTCACGAATTGTATCTGGATTATTGCTGTACACTTTAGATTTAACGTAACCCCAAAGAAAATAGTCTAAAGGTGTTAAATCACATGATCTCGGTGGCCAACTGATCGGTCCATTTCTCGAAATTAACGACTCACCAAACTTTCCACGCAATAATTCCATGTTCACTCGAGTAATGTGAGGTGGTGCACCGTTTTGTTGAAAATAAAGGTCGTCTGCATCAATATCATCAAATTCCGAAAAGAAATATTCGGTTAAAAACGAGTTATAGCGCTCGCCATTCACAGTAACAGGGTTTAGTTCGTCACTTTCGTAATAATTTTGGACAATTTCCAAGCGTTGGTTTAAAGTGAAACGTGACATGATAAAATGGCAAACCTTACTGAACACAAATGTCAAGAGAGATCAAAGATCCATCATCAAACATGGCCGCTATAAGCTGTCAAAACCAGGTCATCCCTATTGGTAGACCCAGTATACAGTCGCAATACAAAGAGAGGGGATTAGACCGATCATGATTGAGTTAAATAGTATATTAAAGAAAGAAAAAATTATACAAGGTGTCAAATTTTTTTATGAAAAAAAAGGAAACTAATGCCAAGATAAATACTGAGCATCTTGAGATACCAGGTCCCATCAAGCCCGTGTATATATCTGAAGCCTTAACATTCAATGGACAAAAGCTATTTCATGCGGCTCGCAGGTTCGAGCGCGAGTACGGATTTTCCTACTGCTGGACGTTACGAGGTCTGGTATACTTACAGAAAGCGGAAGGCGAACCACCAATAAGAATCGAAACCGAAAAGCATCTTAATAAGCTGATAAGTAAGATTTGACTATGGTATGTACACCCCGATAGTTTATTACAACGGTCATGACTCCATGATTTGTTATTTTTACCTTTACTTATATCTGTTAAGTTTTATAAGTTAGAGGTTACTATGGATCCTAATAGTATATTGCTACAATTCTCACAATGTTTGTTTAAGTTTAATGAGTTGGGAGTAGCCGTGATTTCCTATATGTTACAGCAATACCCACATCATTTTTTAGTTTTATAATTTGGAATTTAATGTGATTCTGATGTGTATGTATGCGTGCCTGCAAATAAGTTTTGCTGTTAACTTGTGTCATGAGTAATAAACGAGCATCCGATCGCAACGGTAGTTTCACTAATAGTATAGTAGCCGACACAGCACTGGCGACGAGGTACCCGCGTTTAAAGAAATAAAAAGTTACTTAGTTTCGTTAAAATGTCTAATATTATCGGTAATATTACAAGTTTTGATCATAACAATCAAGAATGGCCTATATTTAAAGGTCGGCTATTACAGTATATAAAATTAAATAGTGTGAAAACCGAAAATAGGAGCGCTTTGTTGCTGACTCATTTTTCGGACGACAGCTACCGCCTTGCACGGAACTTACTTCATCCTGAAGTACTCGAAGAAGTCAAGTTCGAGGAATTAATTAAAAATTAGACAAGCATTTCACACCAAAACGTTGCACTTTTGCTGATAGACAGAAGTTTTATGAGGCGAGGAGATCTGATGGCGAGAGCGTTGAGGAATGGGCGGCTCGCGTAAGAGGTTTAGCCGTTCATTGTGAGTTTGGTACGGCATTGGATATGCTACTGCGTGACCGTTTTATACTCGGGCTCGCAGCGTGTCGGGAACGTGACCGGTTATTCGAAGAGGATGCCGGCAAACTAACTTTCGCCAAGGCGTTGGAGGTAGCTCAACAGGCAGCGTATGCACGTTTGGCTCGAACCGGGACCACGGCGGCAGCCGACACTGCAGAAATCACCGCCCAGGCCACGCAGATCAAAGAACGGTCCGCCGATGTACAAAAGTGCATAAAGATAAATAAATCAATCAAAGACGAGCTCGTGTTCCAGATGAGTGGACAGCGCGCATGCCGCGAGGCTGCCACAGGCCCCCGTAGCTCAAATGGCAGTTCCGGGGACATTCGTCGGTGCACGGTATGCGGTCTCAGAAACCACGATATGGAGAAATGTCGTTATAAAAACTATCGGTGCCAAGTGTGTGGTGTTAAAGGTCACTTAAAAAAAGTGTGTAGTGGAAAAAAGGTCGAATCTCGTTTAAATTGCTTAAGTACGGAAAGGAATTCGCCGGGACAAAGTGACTGCGAGGAATGTGAAGTATTTAATCTAAGGTATGTTAGTAACTCACCAATAATTGTTAAGGTGTTAATTGATAATATACGGTTAGACATGGAGTTGGATTCTGGCTCCGGGGCTAGTGTTATATCTGAAATACTTTTTAAGAAACATTTTTACAACCGTACTTTAAATAAATGCAGTTTAAAAATGTGCCTTTATAATGGCCATAAAATTTCACCTTTAGGATATTTCCTAGGTAAAATTACCTACCTAAATAATACTTATGATATAAAGATATTTGTATTGCCGAACGGAGGCCCTGCGTTACTAGGACGAGATTTTATGTCAATGTTTAAGATATATTTTACTTCGAATTTAAATAGTATTGAAACGGTTTCTATAGCCAAGCCCGATATTAAGGATGTACAGCAGCTTATGTCTAGGTACTCTGATTTGTTTACTGAGGAGTTAGGTAGGTTTAATAAATTCAAGGTCAAACTAATTTTAAAAGAAGATACTCAACCAAAATTTTTTAAACCTCGTTCGGTACCCTTCGCCTTGAAGAAAAAGGTGGAGGATGAAATCAATAGGTTAGTAGGCTTAGGAATATTACAACCGATTAATTCTTCCAAATACGGTACCCCCATTGTCCCGGTACTGAAAGAAAACGGAAAGGTCAGGATAGCCGGTGATTTTTCAATTACAAAAAATACCCAATGCCTAGAATAGAAGAGGTTTTTGCTAAGTTAGGAGGTGGGCAGTGTTACAGTAAAATAGACCTCAGTAATGCCTATAATCAATTTGAGCTGGAGGAGTCATCACAAGAACTCACGACGATTTGTACTAGCAAGGGACTATTCAAATATACCCGACTCGTTTATGGTTTGGCAAACGCGCCCGCCATTTTTCAAAGAGCGATGGAGTCATTGTTAATAGGTATAGAAGGTGTGAGCATATGGTTAGACGATGTTTGTGTGACGGGACCGTCTAAAGAGTTACATTTCCGTAGGTTAAATGAAGTATTAAGTAGGTTAAAGGACGCTGGCCTAAAATTACAAAGAGACAAATGTTGTTTTTTTTCAGAATAATGTCACGTACTTAGGTTATATTATTGATAAGAATGGATTAAGAGCATGTCCAAAAAAAACGGAAGCTATCATAAACGCACCGCGGCCGACGACCGTCACAGAGGTTAAGCGGTTTTTAGGATTAATAAATTATTATCGTAATTTTATTCCGAACGCGTCTACAAAATTGCATCCGCTGCATGAGCTATTGCGTAAAGGGGCACAATGGCAATGGAGCGAGCGTCATGAAAAAGCATTTACCAGCTTAAAAATCGAACTGGCTTCAGAAAGAGTGCTTGCTCACTTCGATCCCGCCGCGCAGTTAGTACTAACGGTTGATGCGGGGCCGACCGGGCTGGGAGCAGTACTGTCACAGCGCGATCGCGAGAACCCGCACCTCGAAAGACCGCTGGCGTTCGCCTCAAGGTCACTGTCTACAAGCGAACGTAACTACAGTCAAATACAAAAAGAGGCAACGGCCATTATTTTTGCTGTTAAATATTTTCACCAATATTTGTATGGACGTAACGAGCCGTTTATCCTTAAGACTGACCACCGTCCTTTACTTTCGATTTTTGGTAAGAAGACGGGTATTTCGGTTATGACAGCTTCAAGGTTACAACGATATGCGATAATTTTATCTTCATATAATTACTCCGTCCAATACATAAAAGG